AAATGTCTCGGATTTAGACAAAGGATACAAAGACTCAGAAGCAATTACTCACTACATTGCAATGTGTGGGCATGACAGACTCGTTTTTACATCAACAACGAATTTTTTTGTACTTAAGAGCAAACCGGCTTTTAAGTAATGAGAACAAATATCATTAGAATGGGGAGGATTTAATGCCACAGATCTAATTCGGAAGATGCCTTTTTCGCGTGTGATTAAAATCAGCAGACGTTGTCTAGTGTATTTTTAATGAGCGAAATTAAGAATAGTATATGTGGGTCAAGACAAATATCAAAACAGACTGATAAAGCATCACTAATTAATTATTTGCATATTGCTGTTTTCGATGCTCTTACCACTAAATATTTACTCCTTTGCATGCTGAATGACACTGTAACACGCACAATGTGGCGAAGTCTAAATTATCAGAGTTAAACTGTGCTAATTTGTAAATTCATTGTGCAAAAGGTAAAATAGGATATTAAAAAAGTTAGACAAAATATGACAAAAATTATTTCGAAATTTCATTGCATTTACTTGTTATTGTAAATGATAGTTGGAAGCATTTACAAAATGACAATATGAAATCTGCCATAGCTAAGGGAAACAAGGATCTGCAAATACCTCTAAACGTTTTTGCATTTTTCAGGTAACGGCGCTTGCAGCATACATTCCTTAAGGCACAGGGTGGCTGCAGACCACACTTTCACATAACGCCATGTTTTGCGACTGTGTAAATGCATTGGCCTGGGTTCTGTGGAGGTTGCAAGCAGGTTAATAAGGAAATGAACATCAGAATGCAAGGTTTTTGATGCTATTGAACTCCGCCCTACTCAATTCTATTCTCTTACCTTCTACTACCTTGCTAAAATGCCACTAGAATCACGGCTCGAATAACATGGTGGAAGGCTCACACGGACAATAATTCCTTTACTACCAGTCACCTTTACACCACATTCCTTCTATATACATTTCACTAACCAGTTAACTGGTCATTTAAAAGAACGTCAATTTATGTGTTCAAATGCGCTCCACACCTACAACTACAATTGCGTGTACAACCAATTTCACATCTGGTGCCATCCTTGTTCTGGGACATTATCGAATATTGATTGACTAGTTAATCAGTTAATTCATTTATCAATAAAGCTATAAATAACAGCACGTCTAAATGGTATTTAAAATAATGTTTAAACTGCTCCACTCCACTTTAAGCTCATTCATCAACTCTTCTCAATTTTTTCATTCCCCTTTTCGTCTACTACCAATACTGCATTCGGCAATCATATTGTCCAGCTCTTGGTTTTTCCACACTCAGTACATGTAGGGCTTGGTGTCTGTTTCTCTCTGTGTGCCTTTACACAAGAAAGACGACGTCTTCTCGTCTTACCAAAACTATCTCGACAATTGTCTTCATTGCCATCGAGGAAATCACAACTAGTGCTGACTTAGAGATCCTATTCCTTCTTCAGCTGTTCTACCTCTATGCTAGCCATCAATAACTTATCCGCCTCTGTCCCTGCATCCTTATCTGCCTCCGCCTCCCTTACTCCTCTAATCCGCATCTG